GCTTGCCGAGTGCGGAAATTACAAAAATTTGGTTGTGATAAACAGCCAGCACCTCCCCAACTAAAACACAGACCTCTCCGGACATGTGGCTGGGATGCTGACATTACTGTATCAAAAGCAGTGTGATATTTGCTGCCTGAATTTGTTTTCGTAAATAATAATTGCTGAACGTACGAGATGGGACAAAAGAACGAAATCAGATCTACGTTGGCCTCGTACTGGTCAAAATTATTGCCCGTTGTGTGGTGGTGTAACAATATGAGGAGGTACAAATATTAACAAGATCTGCTTCGAACCGAGAGTAAAACTAAATACTTATAAGCGGCATAATTCGTACATGAGCATTATAAATTTCGGTGTGCACAAAATGACCGAATGCCAAGGAAATCGTAATAAAATACCAGAAATGTGTATATCAAACGATGCACATTACATTTTGGCTTACACATAAAAGCAGAAAACTTTATCTTCCATATTCGTCAGTGTTCACTGCAGAAAATGCTGTAGCGACTGTGATGCTCTTATTTTTCGCTTACAATAGTGTGTTCGGACTGGTGAATGTATCACAATCAGTGTTTGTACTCGTACGTTCGAAAAATATTAAAACTAATTATTCTTTCAAAAATTTTTAACCATGAAAACATATCTGGTCAAAATTATGCAATGCAAAATTATGCAATAAGAACTTACATACGTAATATTATATCTGTCTAATAAGCACTGGTCAACAGGGTTTACCAGAAGCAAATCGATATATACTCTGGCTATGTGATCAGTCCTATTTTGTAACAAAATAGCCGCTTGCGGCTGGGGAAAATTCTAGCTGGATTGGAATTCTTTATAAGCAATGGGTTTTTTTAAAAAAACTTATGTAAGCATATAAACGGGCGGTTTTTTCTGATTGAGCTTGTATACTAAGAATTTATCATAGCAATAACCATGTACTTGTACTATGATAAATATTACAATTATTCTTTAAATATATTTTATTGACAGATCACAGTCATACAAGTGGAGAAGCTGTCACCCTGCCACCAAAAATCCACAACAAAGTTTGAGCACAGAAAGCCACATGAGCGCAGAAAATGAATTTTTAAATAAACTTAAATAAAAATGAATTTAAAAAAATAATTTCAAATCTATTTTATTTCATGATTGACGGGATACAAGTGGGAGGAGCCGTCTCTTGTCACCGAAATTCCATCACAGAAAACAGAGCGAAAAAAAACAAATTTACAAATCAATTATTTAATTTGCATATGCAACTTTAATACAATCGTAGTAACGTACAAACAACAAACAAATAGATAAACAAACAAATACAGGGGTGCCGCGCCAAGTTCGGACAGTTGCGAAAAATTTATTTACAAAAATCACCGTACGCAATTGTATTTGCGCCTTTGCATTTTCCAGTACAACTTTTAATTGCGAACCCAAAAATATCAAAATTGAGCATGTTCGCTATGATAAAAAGGGGCGGGGCGAGTGTTTAGGGGAAGGGGTAGTGGTCGTTTTTCTGGCGCTTATAACGGCGCCTCTGAAAAATGTAGCAAACGACATTTCGGGGTGAGCAATTCTGAAAATTGTTAAGCGACCCAAAAGGTGTCCGTCGGGGGCCAGCAGATGGAACTCACGCCATCAGTGCCCGCGGCGAACTCGAAACAAGACTCATCTGCCATAGACTTGTATGTTAAAAAGCACATTCAAAGAAATGCGGTTGCCAAGAGCACTGTTAGCATCAGACAAGATGTTAGTGATTAAAAGAGAAGGAAGAAGGTTCCACTAGGTGACCATGCTATCGTTTAAAACTTTTCAGCCTCCTCCAATTTTTAAATACTTGTCGAATGAAGTCGATTATTTCTTAGTAAGCAGTGCGATTTTTGCACCAAAAATTAAATTCGAAATTTGGCTGCCGTTCCTGAGCCTCATCTTTTTGCATGGAAACAAAATTACTGAAGGTGCTACAGACCAAGCACTATCACGCAAAGGTTTTTTAAAAAAATTAGATTTCACTGGTAGGAGTAGAGGAATTTTTTTAACTGTCCGAACTTGGCCCGGCACCCCTGTAGATAAACTAATTTGAATTGGTGTATTTAAAAAATCGTGAATTTATAAATTATTAATTGCAAATTGTTTTTAGTTTTTGTTTTAAATGACCAATTTGACTAAACGTAATTCCATTAAAAACGAAAACTGTCGCCCCGAGCCTTGGACTTTTTTCATGACAGTGTAATTCCATAAAAAAATCAAGCTTTCAGCACTAAAAGTAAATTCAGGGAAGAGACTCCAGGCAAAAGTCAAACAGTTTTCCTTGCTTTTTGATTTTGTAAATAGCCCTTAGTCTTCCTTTCCAGATACGACCTTCCCCAATTTGTTGATTTTATATGTCCTGCTGTTGGTGGAGTCAGAAAATCTGGTTTCGAAGCCGGATTGCTCCGTAACCGTATAGTTACCGCAAGCTTCAGGATTACATGGTACGTGACCGGGACTGGGAGTGGCTGCATGTAGTAGCGAACTGGTTTTGAAAAATAATTCCGGAGGTTTTCCATAGAAGAGCAGCGGCATTCTTTATCATCTAAGCAAAGAGGATTCCATTGCAAATCAAGGCCTGCCCTCAAACCTGACACTGAAAGACTGTCTAGGAAACGTTGGTCCACGTCCATCAAGTTATTTCCATTAAGGTAAACCAGCAATATGCTCCGCATGACGAAAAAACGACTTGTGTAAAGTTCAGAAATATTATTGTGGTATAGCCCAATCATCTGCGAAAACATAAAATAATACCAGTGAACATTAACACTCGTATTAGTGAATGACCAGTGGTAAATTATTGAGATACTCAGTAGTGTTTCTGCTGGCCAGTACGAAACGTTTTGTGCTACGGGAAGTTGTTTACTGCAATAATTATTTTTATTTTTACTGCAATTTTTATTTTTATTCTTTTTGGCTTTTTCAGTAGTACTTACCAACACGTTGAGCGTCGAAAAAGGATTCGTAAGTGACGAGACTTTTGATACATCAGCTTGTGTCAAACGTGTGCGCACAAACCGATTTTAGAACGGTTTATAATTAGTCTCTGAGTACAAAAAGCAGAAAAACTAAAACATTTTTGAAAGCTGTGAAAATTATTATCCTCTACGTAGATACTGGAAAATTTCAGATGAACAGATCATCAAAATTAATAAGATACCGTGGTTTATCAGTAACTGTAACACATGTTTAAGCTGCTTTTCGATTTACAAATTCTAAACATCTGAAATGTGGTGCTTATCGGTTGACAGACTCAACCCGGTCAACCGGTTCCAACAAGTCAACGGAGGCCAAAGAGAAGCGAAATCAACGGATCCTGACCACTGACACAGCCTCATCACCTGACGACAGCATTGAGGATGCCCTTATTTAAAGTTTTCGCCTTTCAACCGGTGATCCAGTTGGTGTAGCGCGGACACTTTGATTTTTATGCTGACGTTGCTTTGTTCATCTGCCTGTAAGTTAGTGTTGGATAGGCTTACGAATGTTACATGCTGTGTTTCATGTCATTCTCTACTAATTTCCATTCCAACGGATGGAAATTAGATCTACTAATAAATCAGTACTGCAGTAACCATAAGCCATGCAAAACAATAATTACCATTACCCATTATTCAGTAATATTTTGTGTTCTGTCAGACATGTGCATCATGTTCTTGCATTAGTTCGCCAGGTCCCCTGGTCCGCCCTTGTCGACAGTCTCGTCTCGCTGGTAACGGTACCACCGTACCAGCGATTCCTACATGTTTTTACGATCAACTGTGAAAATGGTGGAAAAAACCGGTTGATGGTCTCCTGTGTACTTGTATATTGTTATTTGTTTTGTTAAGGGAAGTGGTCCGGTACATGGCAGCAAATTAACGCAAATTAACGTGCATGCATGAAAACTTTTATTTTCGCGCTCTCAAATTAGAACAATTTTTACATGGACTTATGGCTATGTGTAGCCAAGCGATTTCTGCACAGTGACATGATGCGCATTGGCATGAAAACCGTTTTTGGGCGCGACATTCCGTTGGTTGTAATGGCTTTAATAAAGCTCAGAAAAATTAAGTGTACAATATGCAGGCTGTACTTAGAGGTGCCGAAAGTGTTATTATGGACCGATCTCATTTATTTACAAAAAACGCACATTGGCGTCAAAATTGTTTTACACCAAACTAGGTTTCTACCACGTTCTGAAACTGCAAAATAAATTTGAAGTACATAGTTTAAAACTGTTTTATAATCTGGAAAACGGTAGAAACCTGGTTCATATAGTAGAAACGATTGATAAAGACTAATTAGGTGACTGTGTTACAGTGAAGTACTGTTTCCAGACCGAAATTTGAAAAAGATCGGCTGAAAATGAAACTTTGAGTACACCCTGGAGCGTTTAAATTTGGGGAATTTTGGTTTGCCCAAAACTCCTCAATCGGATGTTGCACACAAAAACGCTTTTCACGCTTAAGTATACAAATCGTTAGGCCACACATTACGGAGTGCCATAAAACAATGCAAAAAAGTGATTAGGAGTGTGTGAAAGCGAAATTTTTCGTGCATGTGCACCAGTTAATTACCATGTACTGAGTCACTTCCTTCAAGTAACATCTGCCGTAACGTTTGTGATGCTACGGTTTCTAAAATCCGCGTGCTGCGTAAACGGAAGTCAGGTATCAAAACGGTCACCTGCAGGAGTACATTCATGCACTCTGCCGCTTTAACCACAACGCCTCGCGCGGAGGGTGGCACACAGATGTTGACGCATTTATTACGCACTACACTCTGTATGCTGCAAGCTGATTCGCCATCAGACACCGCAGTTGTACGCGTACGTACAGCAGAGAGGAGCAGCGGAAGGAAAGTCTGGCATATGGCAGCGTATAGGAGCAACATTTACATGTATACACTTATACACGCAGCGGCCACATATATATCGACAGATAATCATCGGCCAATTTGTTTGATCATCCTTGCCCGGCGCTGTCCGATTCATTTAACCGCGGAATAATCACTTTTCCCACTTTGACGATCGCTTTCTCTGGTTTCCTCTATCACGCGGTAAATTCAACCGCGCCGGGAGTTTATTCAGAACGCGGGCGGCTTATCAAGCCTTTCTTATTCAAATTTTTGGTTTTATTTAATAATAATTAAAGTATCGGCCAAATTTATTAATAATATAGGGATTAAATTAATTTGCCGCGATTCATCTGGTCAGTATGGAAGGATGACGCAAGAGGACAGCGGGGTCCGGTTGATGACCTTTACTGGTGAGATGGGCGAGGAGATGTACCGGGAATCGGTGGTATTGCCGGTTAAGTGGCCGGTAGATCGCGATAAGGAGAGAGAGCGGCTGAACGGTCAGCATGCGTTGGTCAATAACGGAGGTACGTTGACCGATGCGGAAGAGGAGGAGACTCGGCCCAAGGAAGTGTTCACCACGCTGGGTGTGTTGGATCCGGCGTTGACCGATAAGGACAAGCGGCAAACGGCCAAAGAGCTGGCGGGTGATTACGAGCGGGAATCGTGGCCGGGGAAATGGGATTTCCTGATGGCCTGCTTGGGTTATGCCGTCGGTAAGTTCATAATATCGTTCCCGCCTCAATTTCGCCGTCAGAATAAAAATTCATTATTAACAAATTTATTGATGTTCATCTCCTCATTGAAGCAAAGAATAATTCACACGTAAACAAACAATTGTAAAATAAAAAACAGTGACGGTTAGTACAGCTACTACAGCAACAGCAAGAGATGAAGATTGTTTCGGTTAGGAAATAATATTCCTACATTCAGTAAACGTCCCGTCTGCACTGCAGGTTTCGGAAATGTGTGGAGATTTCCTTCGCTGGCATACAAAAACGGTGGAGGTAAGAAGTGACATGGTTTATAAATCACTGGTTGTTTTTTTCCGTTTAAGCGGGTGCGCTGCTGCGTATTGTACCAGTTACTCAGCAGTCGGCATAGTTTTCGCGTTAAGCCTGGCCGGTAACTGCTGAACGCGTGCGCCGAGTGGTCATTCCTACCATATCAGATTATCAAGAAGACATCTAAAAACTTAAACAGTAGCCCTAAAAGGTTTTGTAATTTCAGCGTTTAAATTTTAATTGCGAAGCCGTGTGCCTGTGTTTATAATTTTGGTAACTTTGATGGTTATCTCCTATTTGCGATAAAAAAATTTATTTAAATATTGTTAGTTTTTATTTTAATTTGTTTTTTGACAGGCGATGGATGCATTATAAATAGCGCTTTATTTACAAACATAAAACCTTTTTATTGAGATGTGGGAATGGTTCTTCGGTTATGTGGCATGCTTTTCGTGAATTTATTGCTGTGATCCTCCTTGTTGGCGCTAATTGACATACTTCAACTTGCGCGCTGGGGAACAACAGCGTTTCCGGGTAGGGTCACCACGGCATCCCGCAGTGTATTGAACACCCATAAGGCAGGTGTGCGCTGGATATCTTCGTAACAATTTTGTGGTGGGCTTTCGCTCAATTCAGGCATTGAGTTTTTGCTGACATGTTAATTCCGGCTACCATATACGTATTCACCTACGGCGTTGCCAGTCGGATACCCTCTAGTTCCACCTAAAAATTTTAATAATCTTTTTTTGCATACCGTATATTTTATTCAATACGGACTATACAGTCAGTAGCGTAAGACTGGCTAACAGTAACGACAAAGGATGCTATCACAGCAGGGCCTAATAGCCAATTACGCATGCGTTTCCCGACAGCCATAAATCACAGCCTGATCAGAAGGATTGTTGTGCAGGAGCCTTCCTCATCCCCTTCTTTCTCTGCTCCTTCCTGGCCGGCATCCCTGTGTTCTTCCTGGAAGTCGCGATGGGCCAGTTTATGAGCGAAGGCACTATCACCGTGTGGAAACTCATTCCCATGTTTAAAGGTGCGGAGTGGTCGTGTAAACGGCATTGTATTTAATTTCTGACATGTTATACACGATCCGGTCACATCCAAGATATGTAGCACGTACATTAAGATAGCCGGAACAGCGTTTCGTATCTTCTCCCTCTTGTTAGTTATCTATTTGTCAGTCTAATATGCAAATAACAACAACATGAAATTCTACTACCTAGATATAAATACTGTTATTACGAGCGAGGAATACTGGAATAATATGCACTACATAGTACATAGTAAATCATACTACGGTAATTTGTCGCTGCGTAATTTTATCCATTTCCGAAGCAGCGGTAATCGATGACCTCCAAACACATATTATACGTGGAAGGTAATATCTTTAGTACGAGTACCGTACTAGTAGTAATCTTCGCAGGCGTTTATTATTTACACTATTTTATATTTTAGGTGTTGTGCATATTTCATTTTCATCGCATATTTCATTTGCTTCGCATATTTTCTTTAGGCTTCGGTTACGGGACGGTGGTAATCGTGACCCTCCTAAATATATATTACATCATTATTCTTGCCTGGGTGTTTTTTTACCTATTCGCCACCATTTTTTCCTTCGGCTCCGTGCTACCGTGGAGTACGTGCGGAAATTGGTGGAATTCTCCAAAGTAAACTGAAGTCGTCAGCACATAGCTAGCTAGCACTGATAGCTGCAGAAAAACTCATTTTTATAGTTGCGTTACCGGGAGGAACGAGACCGTGGATAACGTTACCGAATGGACTAATTCCACCATGACACCGGCATTGGCCACCCTGACGACACCGGCTTGGCTGGATAATTCCACGGTCGGAGCGGCTAAGATCGATGCTGCGGCAGAATTTTGGCGGTAAGTTGTTACACCGTACGTAATGATACGGGACCACTAACTACCCGTATTTTAAAAATGGACTGAAATACAGCCCTTTCTGGAAATAAAAATACCGCCTGACCCCGAATAAAAATGCAACACTCAATTAAAGCTGCTTCGCATAAAATTAACATTTTCAGTACCGAAAGACTTTGGTGATCGTTAAACAATGTTAGAATTTTTTGGAAAGCGCTAAACTGCGAAAGAATAAATAAAATAAACTGCTGTATTTGGAATTTATTACTCGATTTTAAGGTAAAAAAAGGAAGTAATTTTTAAAATAAAATTGTACGAAATATCCTGTTGAAATTTTAAAAATTTATTTTAAGAAAAAAGTTATTTTATTGTTGTCTTGTGTTAGAAACCGAGTCCTGCAGTTATCCACCGGCATCGACGACGTGGGCACTGTGGTATGGGAGCTGGCACTGTGTCTGCTGCTCTCATGGATCCTGTGCTACTTTATCATCTGGAAAGGCACCCAGTCCAGCTCCAAAGTGGTCTACATCACGGCCACCGCCCCCTACATCATGCTCTTCATCCTGTTCATCCGCGGCGTCACCCTGCCGGGCGCCATCAATGGTATCATTTATTACATTTATCCCGATTTTTCACGCTTAGCCGACGGGAAAGTATGGATGGATGCCGGCACACAAATCTTCTTTTCATATGCAATCTGCACATCCACCATCGTCGCCATGGGCTCATATAACCGTTTCCATCATAATTGCTACAGGTTGGTCATATAGGCCCCAGCGTTCGCAACACGCGTAACCGCCTTTTCAGTGATTCTCTGTTTGTGTGGGTTTTATTACACCGCGATCAATACAGCGGCTTGATCGTATCGCGTAACGCCACTGATTCAGGGAACAACATTTCCATATGAAATCCTCCTTACACTTCATGTAGTCCGTAAATACAACTTTTTTTTCAGCTAACCTATTTAATTTCAAATTAAATCACTAACAACAAAAATCTGGTGTGAAGACTGTCAATTATTAAGTACTAGTACCGATAGTTTTGCCGTCTTTCTGTGTCCGAAAAGTGATAAATCTTTAATTTCTCAGTATTGGTTTTGTTTGATGGATCCAGTTTGCTAAAAAAGTTTCTTTAAACCATTTTTATTTATTTAATGGGAAAATCTTTCTAAAAATATATTTTCATTTAATACTAAGTAATTCTTTTAAAAAAATTGTATGCCAAAGTCACCGGCCAACTGGTTCAGTTTACGCAAAAGTATGGCCAGGGTCAAAAAGAGGGAGGAATTTTGTGAGGGAGGAATTTCACTGTGGTCAAAAAGAGGGAGGAATTTTTAGAGGGAGGAATTTTACTGTGGTCAAAAAGAGGGAGGAATTTTCGAAGAAGTACTCGGTGACCTCGAACCCGGGTCCCTGAGGTCGCCAATAAGATTTTCACTGTTATATACAGATTGACGTGCTGAGTCGAACTGAAGTACCCGAGGACCTCGAACCCGGGTCCCCGAGGTCGGCAATGAAATTTTCACTGTATATATGGAGCTTTCACGTGATGAGTCGAACTGAAATACATGGGGACCTCGCACCCGGTTCCCCGAGGTCGCCGATGAGATTTTCACTGTAGATATACCGTTTGACGTGCGAAGTCGAACTGAAGTGCTCGAAAATTCCTTAACCGGGTTCATGAATATGACATCAGAGTTTGTTGACATTGACGCTGAAGGTACTGAAATTATCTAATGTCACCGTTTTTTTCCTAATGTTATCTCCGAGTCATTTGAAATTTTAAATTCGATTTTTAAAGTACTTTCGAGTAGGTTTTGCAATCCTTAGTTCCTGAAGTCAGCAGACTCATTTTCATTTGTCAAACTGATTTCTAAATTTGTTTGTCGAATTGTGTTTCTAAAGCTGTTTCAAATTTTCTTGATTTTCGTGATAGATTTCGGCAGTTTCGCAGTCTTATCCGAAACTAGTCTTCGCTTAACGCGAAGTGGCTAGCAACTCAATCCTTCTGCGAAAACGGGCATACCGTCGACGCGTTTCACTTCTAGACAAAAAAGTAGCATATGACATATAAAGAAATGATTTTTGTACTTTAAAATGAGTACAGTAATGGTAACGCATTTGTTGTTGCTGAGAAATTAGCTTTTAAAGTGAAAAATTTGAAGTTGACAGACGCACTGGCGTTCTGATCAGGAATCAAACTCGTTCCCACAGTGTTGTCGGGAATAAACCACCAGATCCCAGTTCACTGTGGAGTGTCCCAAACTGTACTTTACAGTACGAACCAAATAACTGCACGACCAAACTCTGTATATCTCGCATAACCAAACTATTGCAGATAGCCCACAGCTCACCACACAGACCAACTTCCGTTGCAGGTGACCAAACGACTTGCCATAAGCCCAACACAAAGCACTGACCAAACTTAGCGCGAGCGGAGAGACTTGGAAGGGCAGGACCAGTCTTGTGCGTTGTAGTCTACGGAGCTGTTATTAAATTTGAATAAAATTTATCCTCTTCCCGAAGTGCTCTCCAGCTTTGGAGAGTAGCCCAGTAACCACACAACCAACACACCGACTACCTGTCGTCCTTTTGCGCTCTGCTTATAAAGTCGATTTTTTACAGGATACAGATGTGAAAAAAAATATTCTGAAACGGCCATTTTATAGAGTGAAGTATTAGAAGCTTATTATACGGACAGAATTTTGGTTGATAAAAAACAGAACAAAAAAAATCGCGCGTCCGATCACTTCGGCCAGCGTCATTTCGGCCGAGGTTCACTTCGGCCCGCACTCATTTCGGCCACCGCTCATTTCGGCAGCAGGACATTTGGCCATCTTAAGTTCCTAAGGTTTCCTAGTTTTTACTATGTTGCTTCGGTTTTCTCAGGTTTCTTAGGTTTTCATAAGTTATCCATACGCTTCTTAGGTTTTTGAGGTTATGATCTTATGTTTCTTAGGTTTTCGTATGGTTTCTCAGGTTTCTTGGATTTTCCCCCTTTTGGTTTTTTTGGTTTTGTTTGGTTTCCTTAGGCTTTCTTAGGTTTTTTTAGATTCTTAGATTTCTTAGGTTTCTTGGGTTTTCTTGGGTTATTCTTAGGCTATTGACGCTGGGATAGCAAGACAGCGTCGTACAGGCTTACGAGTGTACGAGATTTTGGTTGCTTATGTTGCCGCTAATTGGTTGATAAGTGCTAGCTTCTATGGCTCACTAGCGCCAGATTGATCCCATGTGAATTGCGGCGTTATCTCTCTCGAATTTCGATGTGCAATTTAGTCTTGACTGGAACATCTTTGAAATTGCAATTTAACAACAACATCCTGAATCTGAGATCTCTGGTGTCTTCTAGTAGCGAAAGCATTAGTGTGTACCTACCGGAAGTCACATCCCTTTTCTTAAATCTGGATAATTACAACTTCCAGAACGTAGAAATATGTAATAGTTTGGTAAGTAGAACTTCGACATAAGAAAACATTTATCTTTCTTATTTTCCCACTTTGTCGATTGAGTAAGGTTTGGTCATCTAGTGCGATAGTCGTAGTGCGACTTCCGCATAGCATGTCACTATTCTTAAGTCATTCTTAGGTTATTCGAGAGGTTATGATGCCATCGAAACGTAGTCACACCGAAAGTAACGTTTTCTTGCCCAAATTAGACCAAAAAAATCGTCGGCCGAAATGAGCTACGGCCGAACTGAGTGGCGGCCGAAGTGAGTGGCGGCCGAAATGAACGCGGCCGAAATGAACGCAGCCGAAATGAAAACGGCCGCAGTGATCGGTTGCCGAGTCGAACGGGGATCACCTTTGGGTAGAAAAGGTCTGACGTTCATAGCTAAATATGCTCCTTATACAAATTGCACAGCATTTTCGTTAATTTTGTAATCTGAAAGCTCTAACAATAAGGCAAGTGACAACTCAACTGCTTCAACCGGCTATTCATCTATGACGAAGGCGACGAGCACCTTACCAGTTTCCGCAACAGTCTGCTCGCAAAAAAATCTGAAATCCCGTTGTTCCCGGCATCATAATAAACTGCCAGACAAATTCAGCATTCTTTTGTGTGAGGATAGTAAAACGGACCTCTAACCGTAAACAGAGAGCGGCTTCACTTGCGTGCGAAACAGCATAAGCATCCGGAAAGTGTTCACGGATCTCATGTTATTGTATTAGCAAGTGTCGATAAACTGAAATATATTGTACTTAAGGACAGTATAAGTAATATATCCATTTACTTATTGGTATACGCAATAAAATAATATAAATTATCCCCCCCCCCAATAGAATTTTATGCCCCCCCCCCTCAGGGGCAGTACTTCTGAACCCTGAACACCTCTGAACCTTGAACAAGAAACCCCGTACCGAGAGTGTTCAGGGCCGGGAGGTTCCACTGTAGTAATGTTGATCTTGTTTAGCATGGTCAGGAACATGGGTCGGAAGTTCCCAGTACTTCAGTTCGACTTAGCATGTCAAACTGTATATATACAGTAAAAATTGCATTGCCGACCTCGGGGACCCGGGTTCGAGGTTCTCGGGTACTTCCGTTCGACTCAGCACGTCAAACTGTATATAACAGTGAAAATCTTATTATGACCTCAGGGACCCGGGTTCGAGGTCCCGAGTACTTCAGTTCGACTTCGAAAAATTCCTCCCTCTTTTGACCACAGTAGGATTCCTCCTCTAAAAAATTCCTCCCTCTTTTGACCACAGTGAAATTCCTCCTCACAAAATTCCTCCCTCTTTTTGACCCTGGCCCAAAAGTATTGCACAATATTATAATTCAGCATATACAGTATCTACTAAAATATGTGTTTGGCTAAACAAGTGAATATGACTTAGTATACGAGTACACTCTATAACTACAAAAGGGAAATTGGTCAATCGGTCCGCTGTTCAAAATCAAATAACGAAATCAATAAACAGCGTACACAATTTATACATTCGGACTGATTCAGTGTGCCTAATCATCAGCACAGGGTTCTAACAGAGAAGTGTTTTTTCGTGCAATATGCGTTAAAACGAAGTATCTACCATTTTTTAACCACAACGCATATTAAGAAACACTTTCGTTTACAGGGATTCCTTGATTTTGTGCTCGGTGAATTCGTTAACCAGTTTCTTCGCCGGCTTCGTCATCTTCTCCGTGTTGGGTTTCATGGCGCACGAGCAGAACGTGGACGTGAAGGACTTGGCACTGGACGGTCCGGGCTTGACGTTTATCGTGTACCCAAAAGCCATCGCGCAGATGCCGTGGGCGCCGGTGTGGTCCGTGCTCTTTTTCCTTATGCTCATCACCCTGGGCATCGACTCCGAGGTAGAGTAACTACATTCTTCCACGCCAGCAATTCAAGTATGCGCTGCAATAATGCTGGCTTTGTGGCAGTTTGTCGGCGTGGAAGGCTTTGTTACGGCCATCAGCGATATCTTCCCGCAGCTCCGCCGCAAGAGTATCCGTGAATCGTTCATCGCGCTGGTGTGCTTTGTCTACTTCCTCATCGGGCTGATTATGGTGACAAAGGTAGGGGAAGCGGTGAAAGTACGGAAAGTGAATTATCCAATGGTTGAATTTAGCGGAGACGGTTGTGTAGGGCGGGATGTTCGTGTTCCAGCTGTTTGATAACTACGCCGCATCCGGGCCGACACTGCTGTGGTTCTGCTTTTTTGAATGCGTGGCTATCGGATACGCATACGGTAATATTGGTAAAAATAATTTTCGTTCCAGCAGCTATATTATAAATGACAGCATATTAAGAATTCCCATGTCATAATTTTTTAATCTATTTAGCGAAGCATTTTAAAAATTAAATTGTGTAGTAACAATTTTTCATTTGTTCGCAAATTATTAACAGGGGTGCTTATTTTGTAATATCAGAATAATTTGATTAATTTTTAGTCGTGTTTTATTCTAGTTAATTTTTTGTTGCAACAGGAGCGGATCGTTTCTACGACGACATCGAGCAGATGATCGGTTTCCGTATCAGTCCATGGTGTAAATTCTGCTGGAAATACGTTACTCCCGTCGTCTGTGCCGTAAGTACCGCGCTACTCACCTAAAGTCGAGTAAATAATTTATTGTGCTTATCTGGGTAAGTGTTTTATGTAGGGCATCTTTATATTCAGCCTGGTAACGTGGTCGCCCATGGAATATTCGGATATTAACTACGTGTTCCCGGCGTGGGCCGAAGGACTGGGTCAGTTCGTGCCCAGTCATTATCTTTTGCTAGAAAACAATAGCGCAACCATAACGTTATAACGTGAGCAATTGTGGTGATAGGTTGGATGATGGCACTGGCGTCCATGATCTGCATACCGGGATACATTGCCGTGAAATCCTTCAGTATCGATGTAAGAACCCAGAATTAACTGTATTTGCCAGGTTCAAACTACAATTTGCACGAATTACGAAATACGAAATTGGGCACAAATAGGTACGAAATGGCATGCTAACGCCGGTGGATTAGAGAAAGCTACCGAGATACAATTTATTTATGCAGCATAATGGTCTGTGAATTTTTTTAATATCAATTTAATTTATTTAGTTATTAAATTTTTAAAAAAATTTTTTTATTATTGTAGGCAATACGTGTGTTTGTTTCTTTTTTGCGCAGAAATTCAAGGCCTTGATGGTACCGCAGTTTAACGATCGGCATATGCGTCGCCGTGCCCGGCGACGGAGCAGCATTCGGCGTTGAGCGGCTCGTAAATTTTCCCTAATGCAGCATGAGCAGATTTGAGATTTTCAAATGGAAATGTAACGCAGTGGAATACGGTGCATATGTGTCATTCTGAGCTTTTGTTAAATACGCGCTTATAACGTTTCCGGTGCAATATGTTACTGCTTCTTGCCAATGCGGCTTCTTCTTTTATTCCTCATCGTTTCGGACGACAACTATTACATATGTTTTGACTGTGTCATATACAGAGTACTGCAATAAAATGTCTACTTTTTCCTTTTTTTTTGCCTAACAAAATCACACTGGACGTTACGTCGATTTTGTTCCGGAATCCGAACGTTTGGGATAAGTATGACTAGAGTTATCGAAAACCTTCAAATTCAGCGTGGGAATGCGCATCCGGTATTTAGCCGGCGACACCGGAACATATACAGCACTGCGCGGTGCTAGTTGGATTGACCGGATTAGCTGCAACGCAAAAATATCAAAATCAAAACACACATCAAGTATTCCGTGCGCTGTGCACATAGGCTCACAGCGTTAATTTCTTGATGTGCTTTCATGAACTATTAAAGGTGTTTTACGAAATCTAAAAACCCGTTAGTAAAATTTAGTTTTATCTTTTAAAAATTTATCATACCCACTATTTTACCTAAGTGGTGGGAGCCTAAGGATGTTTCCAGATACACAGCTTTTAAGCGCACAAACGCGATCTCATTTAGAGCAAGTACCGTGCAGGAAATCATTTTCTTGTCTGACATATTATTACTTATATTATTTTTCACGGAAACCTCTATGTTGGAAATTTGAAATAAAAGAAGTTCCAAGCCTTCCGATGCTTGTTGCAACTCTAACCGCTCGGTGTTTGCAGCGTAATGCGAGTTTTATTAGACAGTTTTCAAAACTTTCCATTGTTTTCTTTTTTCCGTCGCAGAACATGACTTTTTTGCACTACTTCCGGTAAAATTTAGAATATGTAAATTAAATAAACGGAACCTTTTTAAGTAATAACCGTGTTTTCTTAAATTTTGCTTGTACTAGACGAATGCAGAACTAACGGACCTCTCTTCACGATATACAGAGTACGTACAGAAAAATTGAAGTACGTACAGAAAAACATACAGAAAAATTACAGAAAAATTAGAGAAAAAGATATACGTACAGAAAAATTCGACGTAAGTCGAATTTGAAGTAATGCAAGCGTTAATGGGCTGTTTTTAAAGTGGATAATACAAATTTGACACGTACCACGTTGACAGTTGACGGCGCACAGCACCGTCTGGCAGATATTTCCAGGCAGCGGATCCACAATGGGGCAGGTTCCACAGTTGGAGTTACAGTTACATGCGCCACCGCCGCCGCCGACCGGAGAGATCTGCGCACCTGTAAGCATAAGCACATACTTCACGCTTTTCCGATAGAAAACGTAATTATTAATTTATTATTATACTGATTCATATGCAACGCCGGACACGTACCGGCTGATGAGGTGGCTAAACTGGCGGGAATACATGCCCTTTGTGCACACAGTGCCAGCGGGCACATGCATGTCATCAATGCGCTGTCCTGTACTGTACGCAAACAAAACAACAGTTTATAGTTTTCTCCTGCAATTTTTGCTCGTTTAACGTTTTAATAATATATAATTCAAGACATACCGGATAAATGCACAGAAATCAGTAGGACCAAAAGGGATAAGACAAGACAGTGCGCTTCCTTGCTCGCCATGGTTTGTCTGGCCTGCAATTTACGATTTATGGAAAATACTAAACTAATCTTTCTTTAGAAGCGACAAACGGTAACTAATTGCTGCAACAAAAAGCAGCGGTGCTTTATCCGAAATGCATCAATAATATTGTTAAGTCATGGCGGCACTTTCCGCAATAAACTTTACGAAATGACCGACGATCGTGCTGCATTGTACTCGTACGTTAATAACGTTACTGTTTGTCGTTCGTCGAAAACAAGCCAATATTTCTCGCGGGCATTTGTTGTTTATGCAGCAGTGGCATTTTGCGCCGCAACAAAAGTAGCGATGCATATTAATTCTTCGCTGTAGCAGTATTTCCGGTGGATTTGATTTCTGTAAACAAAAATTCAGCGGAGGTTGAACGCCGGCCATAAACGTGCGCAGATCGCCTAATTTGATTCCTAAAAAGCGATCACTGAGGACAGTTTAATGTAGCTGTTGTTAGCAGAAATGCCGACCGAGCTGGCGCTTTGAAAGTCATAAGCTCCCCCCGAAATATAAGCCCATGGGCTTAATTAGATGGTATACAGCCCATATTAGCGAATACCAACAAAGTTAGTTTGAAAAATTGAAGCCCCCTCCAAATACAAGCCCATGCTCTTAATTGGAGCCCACCCCGTGAGGCGTTGGGAATATTTGTAACCCTCGGGCTCTAATTCGATAATTACGGTATCTGTCTACGCTTAACATCGATCGTTAATGAACCGCTCCAAACGCGTGCTATTAAATTATATAAGTAATTTAATAGCTATATATAGCATCGTAAGACGCACGGTGTCTGCTCGATCAGTATAAAATCTGACACCTGAAATTTTATCTACTACCGTATTGTACATGCGCTCGCGCCTATTCGCAAACACTGCAATAAATTTGCCGGACGTTGGACTTTGCCATCGCCAGCCGCACAATCTGCATTTAGAATGAAATATTCCAGAATAACTTATAAAATACGATGCAAACATCTCCAACAAGAGTCGTTCATGGCGTTCAGGTCTGACAATTCGCCTGGTACAGGAATGCAGTTCCATCCATTAGAACGCGTATGCCTTCCTCACCGCACTTGGCTGTAATTGCTGCACGAGCGGTGCCGTTGAAATGTGTCAAAGTGTCCGACAGCATACTGCAGAAAAAAGTAAAAATTAATAATATAAAGGGCGGAAATGCAATAGTACATACTTTGCAGCGATGCAGGCAGACACCAACCTGCACGCATTTCGCTGAGCAGTGGAAGCGTTGTTAGCCTGTAGATACGGTGAAATGTTTAAATTCAGCGGAATATTTTCAGTGTTCCGCATGTAGCATTCCACCGTGGCAGGCAGGAAGCGCTGCGGTCCCACCGATGAGTCGCACAATCTCGCGCTGAAGCTATTCCATGCGGCCATAAACCAGCCGTTTTCATCCTTGGACAGCCGATGCTCCGGGCAGCGTCCGTTCAGGCTGTTTAAGCACTGCCCACTTTCTCGGGCCAGGCTGCAAAAGCGCAGATTTAATCCTTACCAAGCTAGGTTCAAGGCTCATAGTTCATGTGTAAATTCAAAAAAATATTATCTTTTGTAAAATGATAGTATACTGCCATAGCATGATTACAAAAATTGTTTCAGCAGTGGTCGATAGGGCGTAACCACACAAAAATTAAATTAGTGCCACACATAATATGAAACTGCATATTACAGTGCAATTCCTGGTATAGATTTTTCGGAATTGATGTATTTTGCGCTGATTGCATCAGATATGCCCATGAACCTCGTCAGTTGTCCAGCACTGACTTGGCCGATGCCACCGCTGCCAGATTGTGAACATTTTTTGATTCGTTATTCGTTTAGTATTTATAATCTGTAAACAACGCTTTATCTGCAAATATCTATACTACTACAAATTAACCAATTAGGAATTATAAAATTCACATTAAATTAGCGCGGCATAAATCAACACGCGCGGGATTCAGGTTCGGGGTGCTGGATAACTAAAGCGGTTCATAAGCATATCTAGTGCAATGCACGCAAATAAAAAAATTCCGGGGCAGCTTTTACTATGGCTCTACTAGTAACTAGACTACTACTCCACTAAATGCAGTCTATGTTCGGCATAGATTTAAATTTTGTTTGGCCACGCTTTATGACCAAAATTGCAGATGCAATCATTTTTTTAAACATAAAGATGCTACGATAGTACGATAGTATACTATTACTTTATAACAGATCAGATTTTTTGAACTTACACCCGGAAAATGCGTCGTGGTTAGCGTCATGTTTCTGTAAATGAATTCCGTCGTTTCTATAGGCAAAGCTGACCATACCGGCAGAATGTTTCCGCTCGTTGGGCTGTCTGGTTCACCTGCTCATCCGTTACGGGACATTTTCCACGTGAAATTTCCTTCTCACTCTCATGAAAACCATCCCGCAAAGACCGACAAATTGTTCCCAGTTCGTCGCATGTTTCATCCGCCCATGGAAAAGACACACAAAAGCCGGTCGGGAGCGCAAATGCCCACAAAAGTAGCGGCGTTAAGGACATTTTTACTACTTTAACAAAAATTTACGTTGCTGCAAATCACTTCGATTCCACAGTAATGCCGGCGTTGAGTGCCGTCTGGCTTTCGTAATTCGATACCTCGAGTTCTGATTGAGTGGGCAGTTTAAACTACTCGGTAGCATAATTGCATGTAGTTCCTCAAGCTTTACTAATTTATGTTGCGAGTTGAGACCAAGTGTGTTACGGACACATAAGACACCTACCGTCGGAAGTAGTGTATTACTGTAAGTTGGGATTTGTAAGATAGCATTATCAAGATGGCCATTTTTCGCACGAATTATCGCACACGATCTGCCGTGGCGTGCATGGTGAGATCCTAGTGCTGCTAGTGCTGGCGTACGAGTAGTTATATTGTCGCCAGCGGTTTAAGAAGAGGATTGGTATGTGCTGTCAAAATTAAGAAACAGTGCCACGAGAAAAAAACTAATTTTCGGCCAATTGCACTAAGGGTGTCAGTAATGGACTGTGGTGCAATGTCATTGAAGGGCGGTCCTTAAAATTTTTTTAACAGCAGATTTCATCAGCACTATCGATTCACCTAAAAGAATTGTTCAAAATAACGAAGATTTTTTTTACTGTAGCTTTGACTTCATTGCTTTCACACACGGTAGGTAAGTGTGGAGCGTTTTGGCAACCGGAATTTAGAACTTTGTTTTCATCCTTTTCAGTTATGGAAAACATTCCTAAATTAGGAAAACTCGCTGATTCCGAGTGCGTAGTTGGTTTTAGTAAGAAAAAGAAACGTTGGCTCGATTTGCTAATACGAGATTTTCTAATACAGTGAAACTTCTCTACTACGTACACCCACCGTTCCTCGCTTCCTGAACGTTACAAAGGGGTGTACGTTAGGTAGGGGCGACTGCCCCTAGGGTGAATAATAACGCCCACCCCCCAGGGGTGAGTTATATATTTGTATGTAGCGCCCGGAGTCGGCGCCGTGTATGTTTTTGGTGCAAGGTCAAGTCGTTGATTTCGTCGTTAGGCGTCGATCGTTTAGTCCTTTTGCGCTTGAGACTGGCATTACGCTCGCGTTCGGTTTCCAGATCATTTTGCTGGTTCAAAAAACTTTGAATGGTAGTGACCGGCAGAATAAATCTTTTAGCAGCACTGCGATAACTGATATGAGCGTGGACCTGGTGAAGGTTCACGCGTAGGAACAGAATTGACGTGATTCTGCCTACCAAAAAGCCTGGCAGTGCTATGAAAGCGCCTACGCTACAGAAAGCGAGAAATGGCGTGACTGCTAGGAATTTATGACAAGACTAAATTCGATAGAATTTCCTCATCGACAACTCCGCATTGCTGACTGCAGCAAGCGTGGAAAATGCGCACGTAGCCGCCACACAGTGCGGGTGCGTGCAGAACAGCGTGCTTCCGCCACGCGTAAGGCGGGCGTGCAGCAAAACACAACAGACTGCCAAAGCGAGGGTGTACGCATGTACGCCTGCGCTCACATGCCTCTGGGAGGGAGGCTGAGCTCCGTCGAAGCAGAATCCACGTCCAATTCCTTGGGATCCTTGACGGCTCGTCTGTGCGATTAATAAAACATCGAGATTTAATCTCTTTTTAACATCACAAATTCCAATTACATGTGTGAATAAAGAGATCTCGGAACAAAAGTAAAAACAGTAAAAAAATATCAACAGAATTCATTATCAAAACGACTAGGATCCTCCGACTCCTAAAGGTCACTGGGTCCTGTCAACCGTAATCCGCTTTGGTCCATTCCGCTCTTTTGAGCAATCTTTTCATCACAATGAGATCCGCTTTAAGGAATAGGGTGCGTATCAAGTACGACTTCTGAATACTGCTTCTTCATCTTTGGAATAATTGCGTATCAAGTACGACTTCTGCAAAATGAGATTCTTCCTCTTGGACATGGAGGGACGTCTTGAAAGACAAGCTTGATGCTTCCTCCCTGGTAAGGTCATTCTCTTTTTCTCGATGACTCTCTTGAGCAGTGAAGTTCTCAAAGGTCATCCCTTTCTCTTTGATGTGCGACTCGTTTGGGCCGTGACGATCCCAAAAGGTCATCCATTTTTCCATGATGAGTTCCGTATTAAAGGTCATGGAGGGACTTAGCCGATTTTTGGCTTTCAAGCAGTTCTGCTTGCCTCCCTTGTAAAGGTCATCCTTCTTTTCAACCATTTTCTTCGGTCGCACATCCTTATCTTTTCCGTGTAGTGCCAATTGACGCGCACTTCTTTTCCTTACCAGGTTCGAGGGCCGGTTAACGCCGTAACTCCTCTTTCTTCTGAGGCCGGTTATCGCCGTAACCTCAACATCTGAAAGTTTTACTCCTATTTTCTTGAACTCTTTCTCTTTTTCACCCTTGTGGCTTCTGTCATTCCGCGAGAGTGTGCCGACTCAGTAGGCCGCAACTACACTCTAAAAGTGACGTTTTAAATGTAATGAGGAAGGCCGGTTAGCGCCGTTACTCTTCCTGCTTCGAGGGCCGGATGACCTCCGTAACTCCCCATATTTCGGATCGCCTTGATCCTCTGCAACAAAACTCTGAAACCAATAGAAACACAAACGATATGACAGTTCAACAAGTTATGTCTCCTTCGCCCTGATACTGTACCTTTATCACCATTCTCGTGCTGCCGACTGATGGCCGTAACTAGCACATCAGCGATGCCCTAAAGGTCATCACTGATCATTTGAACCATTGTCGCGGTTCCGATCGAAACGTCGTCTTTCTTTTTCATTACGATCAGACGTTCGATCTCGAGGTTCCCTTTCCCTCTCTTGCAGCTCGTCTCCTTCGCTCCGGCTGCTAGTAGCACTGTGACGATTTCGGTCACGTCTGCGTTGGATACGGATCAGGTGATCTCTCGCGTCGACCATGCGCGCTTTCAATCCTTCATCATATGGATTGTCTCGTGACCTTTTGCACAATTCGACATAATCCAAGTGCAGCTGCTGGTTTCTTCGTCCACGTCGACTCATTTCATTGTCCTGCGGCTGTCGCGCAAGTTCCGGTCGATAGCTGCTTTTGTTAACGCTGATCTCTTGAATGAATTCATAGACGAAGTCGGATGGCTGAATGAACCGTGTTCCCATCGTGACTCTGATCCGTTCCGCACATCGGTGGGCATGCATTTGTGCTTGACGTCGCAGGCTATCATCGAATTTCATCGCCTTCTGGACGTCTTTTAGCTGCTTCTTGGCCGTTTCCGAAGAATTAAAGTTCGCAACTGGCGTTCCCAACTTTATGACCTGCGCGGTCAGTGCCGGCGGTATCTCCGTGCCTCTTTGAGCGCTCTTTCTCAACTGGTGGTGCGTTTCGTAATGGCCAAGCCTTGCTGCAAAAATCTTTTGGATCGTAGCACGATGATCAGGTGGCGAATCTGGTTTCACCACTAATCCCAACGCAGCCCTTCCTGCGAGGAGTCTCAGCGCCGGATTTACATGGCGTAACACAAATTGTGCCACGTGCAGACGTCTTTCCTTGATGTCTCTATACTGGAACTGTGTCATTCCTGTTGGATCCGGTGTGTCCAACGGTGTTTCCAAGAGACTCAGGTCGATCAAACTGACAAGGCCGCATTCTCTCGTCGGGAAGTAATGAAGATTCGCTGACTCTTGCGTTATGATCAGATCTTCCCATTGCCCATACTCGTACTCCTTCGCATATCCCGAATCGTTGATGACCTGGCGCAAGTTCATGAGAAGCCAGTACACCTTATCGAATTCTTCTTTATTATCCGGAGCAATGCCCACTGAACGGCAAATCTCGTTCGTCTGTTCCATGATGTCGTTCATTTCATATACCAGCTCAATGGTTTGTAGGGATTGTCTCCTCGGAGCCGTGACCTTTGATTGACCTTTCTGGTCGCCCTTCTCTGATTCCGATTCTGGCGGTGCATTACTCGCCGTCTCTGCGCTTGTAAGTTGTCGCTCCAGATCGAAGATGATGTTTCGTCTCGACGGTCGCATGTCCTCGTCTCCATGGACTTCAATGACATTTGAGGATGCTGGACTACATTCCATGACCTCATCCATCTGCTGTGCCGGTTGTTTCTCGGCTGACTTGAACGTTGAACAAACAGAATGAACTACTGATTGCATTCTGCGCGGGCTCTTAGGCGTGCGGTGGCTTTCTGAGCTGGATGACCTTTTGCTGTTGTAAGATTTGTCTCCAAACTCATAATCATCCATATTCAAGTTATCCTGGACCCACTCTTGATCATATGGCCCCTTTGAGGATGTTGATTTACTCGAGCCCTCACTTCTTCCTTCTCGATTCTGTGAATCGCGATTCTGCGTTTCCTTAGCAGCCCGTTCCTTCTCCTGCTGCCTATTACAGGTTTCGTTGATTTTCCTGTATTCCTCCGCCAAGCGCTTTTCTTCCGCTTCTTCTTGGCGGCGCTTTTCTCTTTGTTCTTTTTCACGTCGGATACGTTCTTCATCCCTTCTCTTTTGCTCCGACGTACGCGTATCTCTCGCGTATCCACTGTATCGGTCGTTATGATGTCTGTCCCATGACCTTTCTCGGGAGCGGTCTGATGACCTTTCATAGCCGCGGTTGCGATCATCTCTTTGAGGCGATTTTGGGCGTTTGAACTCCTCTTTCTTGAAGTTCCGAAGGGCCTCAACCACATCTTTCTCTCTTTTTCGAAAGTTTCGCATCCTGTCGATTCGTTCTTCGATCGCGATTTTGATAACCTGGGATGGTCTGTTTCCTTTTGTTAGGTTGACCTTTTCGTCCAGGAAGATTTTGTATTCCTCTTTCGATACCGCGAGTGGATCTTGCAAGATGATGTCAATCTGCTGTATCAGCGACTGTCTGATTACAGCTGCTTCTCCTTCATCTTGTTTCTTCAATATCGCAAATGGGGCAGGTGCGTGACCTTTAGCTGCTTCGGCTAGACCCTTCTCTGCCGCAGCTTTCTCTTTTTCTTCTAGCCGCTTTCGCTCTGCCTCGCGCTTTTCCTGTACCATTCTCATCGTGTCTTCTTCAAACTTCTTCCTGAACGCATCCGCTTCCGGTGTTCTCGGCGGTTCAAGGGTGATATCCCATCCCGGTCTGCGTCCGACCCACATTCTGTATTTATCTTCCAGTATCATCCGGTCTTCTGGTGACAGTTTCATCCATGTGTCTCCCGTAACCAAATGCCGGAACACATCGAGGTTACCCCTTCTCGCCTCTTCTGGTACCACTACTGCTTGGTTCGGTACTGCCACGACGCAAGTCCAGCATGGGAAACGTTCGTTCGACAGGATGTTATTTCGTTTACAATCCGGGCAGTCCTCGTTGTAATTCGTCAAAGGATCCCCCGTGACCTTCTTTACCGCTGGTCTTTGTCCCTTTTTCGCCACGTTCTGGTTGGGTTGGCTCCGTTCAGCCATTCTGATGTCTCAGCCTGCAATCTCAAACATTATAATGCTATGACCTTTACGTTAACCCTTCTCAACGCCTATTTTTACGCCTATAGTAACTAGGCTATGCAGTGCTGAGCTGAGACTTTCTCGTTGTTTCATGATGACCTTTGTCATCCTTCTTTGACTGAACCATTCTCAACTGTATGGTGACCTTTCTCATCTTAGCCCATTCGCTAAGTAAAATAGCCCCTTCGCTAATTCAACTCTTTTTGCAGAGTGTGGTTCGAAAGTAATTTGAGAACTACGGTCTGCTCATTTCTTTCTCTTTTCTGATTCTGATTCTTCTTTTTGTGTGGTGGACCTTCCTCCCACACATGTTCTTCCGTTTTACGCTTTCGCGATCCAGTCGTATTGGTCGACTCCATCCTTCTTCCATGTTCTGATGGTTCCGTCTTTGACCAAACTGTCCAACGCGTTCTGGATCTTGAATCGATCCCCGTTCATATTTTCTTGGCCGGAATCATACTGAACTGCCATGTAATTGGAGAGGTCTTCTGCGGTGAACCCGTTAGTCCCGCCTATGTTCTGCATGGCATCTTTAGTCAAAGCGTCCTTCCAAGCCTGGGGACCTGGTTTCGGTCTCTGCTTTCGTTGTTCTTCCGCCGGAGGAATGTAGTAGTTCGGTTGATTCGTGTTCGTGTATCGTACACCGATCTTTCCTTCTTTATACGCTCTTTTTATGAGCTTGTTGACTTGTGTCCTGCTGACTCCGGCGTCGCCGACTGCTTTTGAAATATCCGTCTTATCCATTTCTCTCGACGGGGCTGCACCGATCGCAGCGTAAATTGTCATCCACGGGACGTTACTCTCGTTTAGCTCGTCGTCCGTCTCCTCTTTCTGCGATGGGGACTGCACTTGCTGTGTAGCTTCTACCGGCGGTTGCGATCCAGTAGGCTGGGCCATCTTCTCTTGACTTGAGCTCGGATGACCTTTCTCCTCGACTCCACTTTGCGCTGAAGTCTGATGACCTTTAGCTGTTTCTTCCGCAGCATGACCTTTAACGTTTTCTTTTCCTTGCGTCGTTTTTTCGTGTGCAGCCTTTAACGGCGTCAATGCCGTTGTCGATCGGTGGATCTTTTGGGTATCCGCTGCTGAACTGGATCCACTTGCCCTTTGGCTTCGTACGGCGGCAAGTGCTTCCTGTACCGACATCGGTTTCGGTGGTCCCACTAACGCAATAGTTTCTTCAGCCGATTTTGGTGCATGCAGTTTCGGTTCATCCTTCTCTACCGTTTCTGCTTCTATTTGTTCAACGACATTTTCTTCAACGACCATTGATTCCTCTATTTGCTCTTCTTTCTCTTTCTTCGATGAAGTTGCCGCTTTTTCACTGTCCAATTTGATCTGACTCAAGATGGGGCATTCCGCATCGAGTCTCGGATCCAATATAATGGTCGTATCTTCGCTCATCTCTTCCTTCTTGTATCGTCTCAGTTCTTCTGGTACAGCGTTCAATGAACTGTATCTGATGGTCACGCCTTTGTGCGGGTTTGTGGTGTGCAGCTTCTTTTCCGCCACCATCTGTGTTAACGCTCTTCCGAGTGACCTTTCAATGGCTGAAGCGTTTCCCTTCTCTTTGCTCCAAACTCCATTGATGAACTGCGCCATACGGTGTTTCGTCGTGCCCATCGGACTGCACATCCCGATAATGGCGCGTTCAATCCGTTCTCGGATATCTGCGTTTGCTGTAGCCAACTTCCGCTCATTATTGTTCCCGGTGATGTACAGCTTCGCTTTGGAGCCATATTTCGGATGTTTCTGGAGGACTTTTCCTGTGCTCCTTGCGTATTCCAGGACGGCGTTGTACTTGCTCTGCGGCAGTCTTTTATTCGTCTCTTCGCAATACGCCTTGACGTCCTTTCTGAATTTCGATGTAACTGATCTCGTCGCCTTTCCCCAATCTGCTGTTGCTCCGATGAGGATTTCGTCAATCTCTTCGATTGTTGTTTGTTCGTTCGACTCGCAGACGAAGAATCGATCATCGTATTCGTCATCCGTGTAATCCAACTCGCTGTCCCCTTCGACAGGTCTCCAGTTCACGATGTCAGCTGCATCGACTCGTCCGATAAGAGTGTTCCTGGCAGTGACCTTTGGTTTCTTCTGTGCATCCATATAATCTGCCAAGCTGGGGTCAGATTTTCTTGTGTCTCTCTGACCTTTCTTTCTTGTATCTTTCTCTTTTATTGACGACTTCGACGATGCGACGCTGACTTCCGATTTCGCCGATTCGACAGAAGTATCCCTTTTCTTCTTCTCTTTATCAGCCTTGTCCTTGCGTTCTTTCATCGTCGACGCATAGATCGGCTGCATCGTCATCGCTTCCTCCATCACCTTGCGTGATTGACCTTTGTCCTTCTCTTCGTCGGTCTCGGCTTGTGACGACCCTGCTTTTGCGTTGATAGCCAATTGTTCTGGCTCAGAGTCCGATTCGGGTTTCTCTCTTTTCTTTTCCATAACTCCCAGTAACTTCGGCTGTCTGACAAAAGTTTCACCGGCGCTACTTTCTCGTGCCGTGCTTTTTACTGGTTTTCTTTTCTTCTTCGGATCTTCTTTCTTTTCTTCTTCATCTTTCTGACATCTCTCGCATTTAGGATCGTTGCATGAGTGCGGTTGAACTTCTCCTGCAATTATCGCTTTGACCCTTTCCGCGCTTCTTACGGGAGTCGGATGTTCCTCCTTCTTGATCTCCCGTTCTCGCGATTTTTCCTTAGTCTCTTGACCTTTCGTTTCTTTCTTCTCTTCGTGACCTTTCTCTTCTGCTTTAATTTGCTCGGGCTGACCCTTCTCAGCCGGTTTCTTGACCTTTTTCGCCCCCGACAGCTTGGTCAGTGTTTCGCCTCTCGAAGTGTAAAGCTGCTTGTACACTTCTCCATGGAAAGGGTCAATATGGGTCAAGCGCATGTATGCTCCGTCCTGGCGTGCTCTTGGCATCATGACGTTAACCAATACTTCGGTTATGGCTTCGAATTCTTCGCGCTCTTCCTCTTGTGGCAGGACCTGCAGTACTTGCTCCACCTCTTGCATGAGTTTTGATGTTTCCTCTTCTTCCTCTTCTGGAGTGAAGCCTGCGTTTGACACCATTTGTCCCGTCTGAGGATCGACCACTTCGATTCTGAGGATCCCTTCTCTTCCTTCTTGATTCATGAATTTATAGTCGATGCGTCGACATGGTGATCCCCTATCGATTTCTTCTTGAGTCTCCATGGCTTCGGCTTGGGCCGGCGGGTCACCAGAGTAATATTTAATGTGCTCTTCCGCCGTCGGGTTAAATTGGAAGTTTTCCGGAAAATAGAGCCCTTTGCCCTTGGAGTCGAAGAGTGATTTCCACTTTCCTTCGTCATCTTTCCAAAAGACTACCAAATAGGCTCGGTCTTCTTCGGCCCTGTGCCTGAGGATACTCATCACTGCTTGTATATTCGCAGCAGTGTCATTCCGCTGGTCCTCTGGCAGGAGATTGAGTATCTTATTAAGGTCACTATACGACTTCTGTGTTTGCCATTCCACTTCTTCAGGAGTCGCATTCGTTCCTGCTGTGGGGATCGGCATGTATGTTGTCGGATCGATAATAAAGCCGTGGACATAACCTTCGTCTCCGTCTGCCATGTGATAGTTGACCTTTAGACATCTGCACACCGTCTCTCTGTATGGCGGTTTTTCTTCATCTTCTACATCTTCCCATTCTCCTTCTTCTTCCGCCTCGTGCCCCTTCGCACCTGACGCCGGATATGCTCCATGCGAGAGCATATCAATCTTTTCGCCTTGCGGGTTATAGAGTTGTTTCTCCATTCTACCCTTCGCATCAATTGTGACCATGATATTCGCCTTCTCTTTGAATGCTGTTTCTCTCAACAGGTCTCTCAGGATTCTTCCTATCATGGTCGGGTTATTCCGTTCTGACTTAATGAGTTCACCAATCGCTTGCTCTGCTGTATCGCTGGCTTCTTTGCACATCAGCTGATATGCGGCTCGGTCAGCTCCTTCCCCCATTGATGGAATTGGTTGATCAGTGTCTCTATGGACTAGGAATGCGCTGACTACTCCTTCCGTTTTATCTTTAAGCCGGAAAACTCTGGTGTGCGATCTACACTTTGTTTCTCGAGCTGCGCCCCTTCGCGTGCTCGCGCCAGGATGACTTTTCGGTTTCTCTTCCTGACCGGTGTGCCCTTCCTCCACCGGGAGTTGACCTTTTTCGTATTTCAATTTGGATTGAGTTTCTCTCGCTGGGCTGGCACGCGATGATCCTGATTGTACTGCCGATGTCGTACGAGACCTCAATTCCATAATTTCTCTGTCGAGTTTATCCCTTTCTCTCAACAGTTCTCGAGGCTGAAACAGGTCATTCCTCGTTCGCTTGGCCGTATGCTCTTCCTTAGTATGCTCTTCCTTAGCCGGAGTTTTGACTCCTCTCTCCTGTTCTTCTTCTTTTGGTTCCGGGGGAATGAGGTTCATGAAGATCAGTATCGTCTTTACTGCGCTTGGCCATTCCCTGTTGCGCAACACTGGATTACTGTTCTTCAGTGTTCTGATTTCAACACCTCTTTCTTTTCTCAACTCTTCCGCCTCGTGTTTATCCAGTTTCATGTGGAGGTGGGTTCCCCTGGTTATCTTGTGAGTTCTTCGAGCCGTCCTGTACTGATCTTGATTATCGTTGATATCGTTATGCAGCTGGACGAACTCGCGGCATTTTTCATTAAACTCCGCCACAGCCTTCTTTTCTTCCTCTGTGAGGGTGACCTTTGGATCCATCACAATGTTGTACTGCGGATCCGTTTCTGTGATCGGGTCGTTGAATCTGGGTGCATTTAACACTGCCCACGGAATACTTCCAGTCGATCTTGGCGAGTGGATTCGGACTGGTGTAAGTGATGGGATCTCCATTCTCGTTCCCTGGCCACTCGTCGACGCCCTCGGAGTAAACGGCTGACCGCCCCTTCGCGGTGTGTTCTGTCTATCTCCCGGGAAACGATGACCTTTTGACGGT